CAAAAGTCAAGAGAAAGTCTTTCAGTTATCTGTAAGCTTCTTTACAGGCTGTTTTTGGGAGTGACTCCTAGAAGCTTTTATTATTTGAGTTGTTGCTTCTTTCCCCAACTACTTTATTATTTTGGATACAAAGGTGCCCAGTTTTAAAAATCATGCCTCACAGCCCCCATCCCCACCCCCACCCCCGGCCTGGCACTGTTTCTGGGCAAGTCTCAGAAGCATCCTACTTTCTGCGGTAGAATTCGGCATCAACTATGGCTCCTTGTTTTTAGGCTGTGCGAGGAATGCCAGCCAATGCCCTGAGGCTGGGCCTGAGCTTCCTGGAGCTGACATCAGGAGTTAATTGCCACCCTGTCTACTCCTGTGCCTTGAGCACTTAGCACTCTGCCACTCCTCGACTGTGTGTGAGGAGAGGAAGGCACTTCTCTGTTCCGAAGCTGCCCCTTATTACCACTTGGGAAGTGGGCAAGGAAGGTCCTTTTTGTTGCCCTAATACAATCCCACTGGGGCTGGACACCCCTGTGATTTTCTTGTGCAGCTTTAGGAAACTCCTTACTGGCCTATATTCCATGAACTTAGTGACCAGACTCATCTGAGGCATCTGAAGAACTTTTCAGAAGAACTAACTGTGGAGGGTTTATGTCATAGTCCGTAAACATATGTCTCCCTGGGCTCTGGTTCCCCCACTCAGGAGATTCACAGGGCCAGAAAGTGACAAAGAAAGACAGGTGGGACATGAGCAGGGATGGAGGGCCACAGGGTGTAGATGGGTGTGTTCTCAATGAAATTATGTTTCCCTTCATGTGAGTCCTGGAGGCTTGGGAACCTTTGTGACAGAGCCAGTGTGGTGTTGGGCACCTCATAGGGAGCGCATTCCTTGTGCAGTGCACACCCTCTTGAGGGTGAGGGGGCTTCCTCTCAGTAGCAAGGAGAAGGTGGGAAGGTGGATGGGATCATGTTTCTGTCTTACTTAAGCACCAGAGCTGTATTTTGACTTGTTGAACATGGAAATACAGTATTAGGTATTTAGAATGATACTTTTCCAAATACCTTTCTTGGCTTTTGAAGACTGATTTTCATTGAACTGATAGTTGGCTGTAGACACATACCTAGTCTAGTGCAGTCTCTTGTAGTCTTTCCTAACTTGTGCCTTAAGAGAATTAAAAAGTCTGACATCTCTCTCAGAAATTCTGCTTTCATTGGGAGGCACTAGGTTCTTGCCAGGTTACAAATGGTCAGCTCTCAGCAGGATTAGGCGATTAGCACGGTGGCCGAGTGTGTGTGCATTTTAGGGTCCTCCTTGTCTGTGATGGGTAAGACGGGTTGAGACCTTCTATTTAGGCAAGAAGGTTGGTGGTGAGTCATAAAAGCTGCCTGCCCCTTTCCACACTGTTCAGGCCTGGACCAGCAAATTGGTGGAGGGGAGAGGCACTGCGGTCATGGCGTCATGCTGGAATTCGGGTGCACACTTGCACATGTGTGCCTGTCATTCCAGGATTCTTTTGCCATCATTCATTAGTTGAGTCCACAGCTGCCTCTCCAGAAGGATGGTAGTCTAATTATAACTGCTTGTGAATCCATAAAGAATCGGTGGAGTTTGTCCTGCGACAGCAGATGCAAATGTGCAGGCTTCTCTATCCCTTCTGCTCTGCTTGTAAGAAGTGTGAACCAAAAGCAGGGCCCTTTGACTCCCTCTGAGGTGGTGACATTCTTCTACGAGGCCTGGTGACACGCTTTTGGGATTAGCTGCCTCTCCCACCTCCTCCAGGCACTGGGGTGTGAGGGGGCCACCTCCACTCTCTCCATTCTCTCCTCTCTCCACTGCTGTGGAGACAGACCTTCTTCTGATGACATGGTCTGTGCTCCCTCCATCTTGTCCTGTCTGTAGCACCAGCTAGAAAACTGTTTCTTAAATATTCACTTCTAAATTGTGGTAACAGGAAAGTATTAAGGTTCTTCTTTCTGCTGCCAGTACTTGACTCTTAGAGATCTCACTTCTCCGTATTACTCCAAGAATAGGCATCAGCTGTTGCAGAAGGGTGGCACTCAATCTGGTTATATGGATAGGCCTTTAGTTTTGGCCGGAGGGGGTTTTTGTTCAGTTAATATTTCAGAAATAATGTGTCCATTTTAGAGAATTTAGAAAATACAAAGAAACAAAAACAGGAAGATAAGGGGGTGTTTCATAGCTGTATTTTTTCTATTACATATATTCTCAAGTTGTTTTTGTTTCCAAAACATACAGTATATACCAGCATACCACCAAGGGCAATCTTTCTAAGCTGTATCAAGTGTACTTGTTGTAACCTTCGGGTTTTTCTGTTTGTTTTGTTTTTTGGGTTTTCTGGTGGCTGGCAGGTACACCTTTGTGTTTTTGTCTGTTCTTATGGCTGACTAGTATGAGGATCTGAACCCTTGACCTTGGTATACTTTGTTTTTAATGGCAATATAATGGTGCATTGTTTGGTTCTATCATGACTTATGTAATCAGTATGTATTATCCAATATCTAATTATGGAATATTGAGTAGAATAATTTTATCTATTATGTATAATGCTGTAATGTCTATCCTTTGTGGCTTAATTTTTGCATACAGTTATGACATTTTTCTTACGCAAAATTCTTACAATGCAAATATTTAAGGCTTCTGATATGTATACAGATATGTCATCCTGTGGAAAGACTGTCCAAACCAGTACTCCCACCCACCAGGTCTGGAAGTTTCGATTTTATCACTGTCTAAGCTGGAGAATTTAAGATTACTAACCATTGATATTTACATTCGTGAATTTCTTCTTTGATACTTCTTTTGGTGTGTTCATCTTTTTTCTAGTTTTTATGTTTTTGAAAGTGCCATTATTCTGGGAAGGATATTAACTTTTTTTTTTTTTTTTTTTTTTTTTTTTTTTTTTTTTTTACCTTATTTGCAACATCTGTTGCAGTTTTTGTGTGTGGCATTTTTCCAGTTTGGAGGGGCTTTGCAGTCCCTGATCTAGGGAGATGTTGCTGTGTTCCCCACTCGCATCCGTTGCTGCCTCCTCCAAAACTTCAGAAGTAGATGTTCCTGCTGAAAGCCTGAAGCCCCTCATGAAGCACAAGTAGGTCCCCTGCAGATGTCCATCAGCAGGAGAATGGATAAAGAAATTGTGGTAAACCTGGGAACACAGCTGAGCAGTAAGAAGAAGCAACCTACTTCTACACACACAGATGTGGCGCTTTTTGCTGAGCCAAGAGGAGATGGGCGGAATAGGCAGATCTGTGGAGACAGAAAGTAGATTACTGGTTGCCCCAGGCTGGCAGGGTTGAGGGGGAATGAGGAGGGACTACTGATGGGTACAGAGTTTCTTTGTGGAGGAATGAAAAGTCCTAAGATTGATTGTGGTGATGGTTGCACAACGCTATGAACAGACTAAAATCATTGAATTGTATACTTTAAATGGGTGAATATTATGTCATGTGAATTATATATATCCATAAAGCTGTTTAAAAAAAGAAGATGGATACAAGGTATACATGCTGCACTGTATATGGTTCCATTTATATCGAGTTCTAGAACAGGCAAAAGTAATCTAAGATAGTAGAAGTAAAAGAGTGGCTGGGGTGGGGTAGATTGACTGGAAAGGGTGATGGAAATGCTTTTCATTTTTTGTTTTGTTTTGGCGGCTGGCCAGTATGGGGATCCAAACCCTTGGCCATGGTGTTATAACACTGCACTCTAACCATATGAACTAACTGGCAGGCCCATGTTCTATATTTTTTGAGTGGTGCTTACTTAGGTATATGTAATTCTCAAAACCCGTCAAACTGTGAGAAATGGGCCGACCCCGTGGCTCACTCGGGAGAGTGCGGCGCTGGGAGCGCAGTGGCGCTCCCGCCGTGGGTTCGGATCCTATATAGGGATGGCCGGTGCGCTCACTGGCTGAGCACGGTGCGGACGACACCAAGCCAAGGGTTGCGATCCCCTTACCGGTCACCAAAAAAAAAAAAAAAAAAAGATGCATTCTAATTGAAAGAAAACAAAATCAAATAGGCCTGATCCCTTCCTTCTTCCTTTTTTTTTCTTTTTGCTATGATTTGGAAATTCCTTTTTCTTTTCTTTTCTTTTTTTTTTTTTTCCTTTCTTTTTCTCTTTTAATGGTTCTACAGTCATTTCTCTGCTGGGTAGTATGCCTTTAACTCCCTGTCCATTGCCAAAGATCCCAACCAGCCACCTCAGAGTAGCAGCTACTGCCATACCCATGGCCAGCTCACGTTGGAAAACCACCGAAAGCAGAGGTTTGATCATTAGTGGCTTTAGAGAACTGAAAACGTAGTTCTTCCCCCCACAAACTGACTAGGAATCTGTTGTACTGGGTACTTACGTGTGTGATAATCTTAGTCATTGTGAGACAGTGGGGTTTACCATTTCCCGCTTCCAAGAGGAAGTGCCTTTAGCATTTGAAACTTCTTGACATTCTGTGAAGGTATTTTTGGAGGGAAGGGGACATTTTGGGAAGTCGCAGATTACCTAAGGCAAATAACCCTTGCATTTATGGTGTGTGGGAAATACGTAGGCAGAAAAGTAAGACTCAGCGGTGGAGGTCAGACATACTGCCTAGCTTCTGGTGAGAGCTCAGCAGTGAATGAACATTGCTCATCGCCTTTCTCTTGTGTGGGGTGCAGGAGCTGGTCAGACTTACCATTGAGAGGCAGGGGCGTCCGTCTCCAACAAGCCCAGTGAAGCCCAGTTCCCCAGCTGGCAAACCTGATGGGTGAGTGCTTTCTAAACCCTCCCACCACAGTGTTCACATTGGGCAGCAAGGTCTGCACTTGCCAGAGGATGGGAGCCAGTTGGGCAGTGGGCAGCATGTTAGGTAGGCTGTTGGAGGCCCATCTTCCTTTTTCAATGGGAAGTTCTGGGTGACTGCGTGTTACGTGAAAGTGTGTATGTTTCACAAAGTTTTGAAGCATTGCCTTGTCTCATGTTTAATATTCAACCTGACTGTTTCTAAGGATGAACGTGTGAGTGTGTCCAGTGACACACACTAGTGCTTGTCCTGGCCAACTTCATTTCAATAATTAGAAAGAACTTTTACAGGTTTGGATTTGGGGGATTTAACTTGAGAGCACTTTTGGTTTTTTAGTAGTAGCTTTATCAAGAGAGTAAACTAAGGGCAACATGGACTGTTTTAATGCCTTGCCTCAATTTCTACTACAAGCCCCGGGTAAAAATAGAAAATGAAGGTTTGGAGCATTTTAGAGAGACTTTAGGTCATCTGGTCTACGGATTCCATTTTCATGGGAGGAGACTGTGATGCAGAGTTGGGGGATGTGGCCAAGCCCCAGCAGTTTGTTAGTGATCAAATTGGACTTGACCCCACTTCCAACTTGGAGCCCAGGCTCAGTGCCCAGAGCCCCCACCCCTACACCGCTGCCATCACATTCTAGCCTTCCCCGGGCCTGTGTGTGTTTTGCTCCCATCAATGACCTTCTCTGACCCCAAGTTCCTTCCAATTCTCCAGCCAGGCTGAGCTCCCCCTGACAGACCGAGAGGTGGAGATTCTAAACAAGACGGCTGGGATGTCGCAGTCAACCGAGCTGCTCCCAGACTCCACGGATGCGGAGATTGCACCTCCCAAGCCCCCTTTACCTGGCATTCGAGTGGTTGATAATAGGTAATTATCTTCCTATTTTCCTAGCTTCCCCCTCTATTTATGACATAATGGGTAGAAGGAGCAAAAGAGGAAGGTGTCGCAGACTGGGTAAGAGCTCAGCGTTCAGCCCCTTCCTCAGGATGATGCCCGCACCTGCCCGGGCCTCCCTCCCCACACCTGAGCTCTCCTCTGACCTGCCCGTCGGCCTCCATCACATGAGACCTGGTGTGATTTATTTTGAAAGGGAAAGGCAGGGTTGTTCTGATTTTCATTCTTTTGGCATTCATAGGATTTATTTTGGCAGGAGGGGACTGGGCAGGAGTTGAACTAAGAAAATTGGCTGTGGAGAGCTAGTAGTGAAAAACCCCCACAGCCTGTACCCTCATGCCATCCTAAAGAGCTTTGGTTTGCATCGTTTGGTTTGCCTGGATGTTTTGGTCTGTTTCAGTCCTCCACCAGCGTTGCCACCCAAGAAAAGGCAGTCAGCTCCGTCTCCTACCCGAGTGGCTGTGGTGGCCCCCATGAGTCGAGCCACCAGCGGCTCCAGCCTACCTGTCGGGATTAATAGGCAGGTAACGCAGCCCCCGTGCCTTCTGGGAAGGCAGACAGGGGTGTGGCTCCTGTAGCTGAAAGAAGTTTCCTGGCCTTCAGGCCCTGGTGTTGGTCAGGTCCAGAGACGCTCTCTTGCGGGGTCGGCGTCTTCTCAGTCGTCCTTCTCTCTCCAAGACATGGGGGAAGTTCCCGTAATGGAGGTCCAGGGCGGGGAGGTTGGAGCCCGGCCCATGGCCCTCCCTGGCCACACACTCAGGGCAGTCCTCAGGACTTCTTTCTCATCCATGCATGTCATTTTATTCTGACGTCAAAGATGGTTTCTGAACCTGGTGGTATTTCCTTCTCTAAGTAGATGTGCCGATTGCCTCATCCCTGGTCTCTGCCACCATTTCTCAGAAGTGACTTGGGTTTGTTTTTATGTTTCCACATGAGGATTTTGACGTTGACTGTTACACACAGAGGCGACTGTCAGGAGGCAGCCACTCGTATGGCGGAGAGTCGCCCCGCCTGTCCCCCTGCAGCAGCATAGGCAAGCTCAGCAAGTCAGACGAGCAGCTGTCCTCTCTGGACAGGGACAGCGGACAGTGCTCCCGGAACACAAGCTGTGAAACTCTAGGTGAGCGGTGGGCCTCCTCCTGTCTCACCCTATCTCAGTGGCTTCTTAGGGGTCATGTGGTCCTGGTTTTGAGTCCCAATTAATGGCTCCATGACCTTGGCCAAGTTATTTAGCATCTGAGCCTCAGACCGAGGATAACAATATCTGCTTCTCAAGGAAGTTGAAAGTTTAAATAAAATAATGTGAAACCACAGAGTAGATATTGAAGCAGTAACTGTTGTTATGCTTAATCTGTCAGTGGGTAATTTTACTCTTTGTTCCAAAATTAAAAGCCATCTGTGCTCAGGGCTTTAAATAAAGTGGGGGAGCCCCTGACAACTTTTGGTAGAGGTTGCAGGCAAGCCCTGGGCTGACCTTGTCGGTTGGTACTGAACGTGTGCTGCGTGGGGTGACCAGAGTCTGTGAGGCAGCTCGGCAGGTGCTTAAAGAGCATTAAGCTGTCAGTGTCCCATGAAATAGATTCCCGAGAATGTATCCTAAGAATCTAATCAGAGATTTAAAGCAAGATTTCTGTCTGAGGACATTAATCTCAACATTATTAGGAATAATGATAAAGTGGAAACACTCCAATTACCTGTTGGTAGGAAATCAGATGAACTATGATACATTCATTTGGTGGAATAATCTGTAGCTATTAAAAGTCACTTATGATATACCGATAAATGGGAAAAATCCAAGTCCATGTACATAATGTTTTCTCAGCTTGTTTATTGAAAAATGAATCCTTGAAGGGAAAAAAAGACTTTCAAGGAAATACATCAAAATGTAAACAGATTGTAGTTAGATTATGGGATTGTGGGTGGTTTTTATTTTCTCAATATCGTTTGCTGTTTTCTGCTGTGGTCATTTTCTTTTTTTTAAGTAAGAAATTCAAAAATTACACGAAAGTACAAAAATAGTATAGCAAACAGCCATATTTCCACCTGTTTTACTTCTGTTATCAGAGAAAAGAGTGAAGAATATAAAATAAAGTGAGAGCCGGTGTAGTGAGACTGGGGACATGTTCGTCTTGCTCTCATGAGTGAGACTGGGTGAAGCAAGAAGGTGGGGCCGTTAGTTTCTGTGGGGCCCTGCAGCTAACAGGCATTTTTCTCCCTGTTGTGACTGCAGATCACTATGATCCCGACTATGAATTCCTCCAGCAAGACCTCTCTAACGTGGACCAGATACCTCAACAAGTGGCTTGTAACCTTAGCCCGTTGCCGGAGTCCTCGGGGGAGTCTGGGTCTCCATTCCTCAGCCATCCTTTCCAGCTGCCTCTTGGCATCTGTCCCCAGCCAGAGGGGCCCTTGGCCCCAGGACAGCAGACAGACACGCCACCTGCTCTTCCAGAGAAGAAGCGCAGGAGTGCGGCCTCCCAAACCACGGACAGCTCTGGCTGCAGGGTGTCCTATGAGCGGCACCCCTCACAGTATGACAACATCTCTGAAGATGACCTGCAGAACCCAGCCCCAGTCCAGTGCATCCCCTTCACAGCCTTTGCTGCTATCCTCCCTTTTCAGCAAGGAGGTTCCTCAGCCCCTGTCGAATTTGTGGGTGACTTCACTGCTCCTACATCAACGGGTGACCCAGAAAAGCCACCTCCTCTACCAGAGAAGAAAAACAAACACAGTAAGCTTTTGTTGAGCTGTCATCGGGAAGCTCATTTTGTAACCTAAAATGGTGGTGTGTTTTATTTAAGCATTAGGCTAAAATCAAGCTAGCGGCCTCATTATTTCATAAAAGATAGGACTATAGGAATGTGGACACCTCTGGGAGCCTGGTTTTGTCATTACTGATGATTGCTTTGAAAGCCTGATAAGCTGACCTCTCCTTTATGGTCTCCATAGAAGCTCAGGCCTGGTCTCCGAGGAGCTGTGTGCTTCTCCTCATTAGGAGACCTCCTGGCCTGAACATAGTGACAAAGGGAGATGAGTGTCATGGCATGCAGGACAGCACTGCAGCAACATCTGCCTAAAGCAAGGTGGACGTTGGACTTTAAACAGTCATTTTGTGAGGGTCCCTGTGTAGAGGTGTCCTGGGTGCACGCTGTTCACTGTTTGCGGACACTGGAGATGGCCCACTTACAGAACGCCTTGGGACCAGAGGTGGCCTGGCAGAAGTAGCCAAGGACACCTCTTGGACCCCAGACAGTTTAATATATGATAATATTATGGCCCAAGGTAGAGCTGAGATTTTGAATGTTTGTATTATGAATATTTTCCAACTGTTAATTTGCCATAAAATTACTAAGTAGAGTTATGCTGTTTTCTCCCAGCTCCCCTAACTGCTCCATGTTGCAGAGAGTTGCTGTTACTCTCTGCCCCCACCCTGTCCCCACTTCACTAGCACAGTTCTGCCTCGATTTTCTTTGGCAGACCAGCTGTCACCATTTTGATGCGCGTGTGGCCATATCAGCCCCACAGCCCCAGGATTCCCTGGCTTCAGTCAAAGCCTCCAGCAGAGAACTTTTTTTTTTTTTGTCTTTTGTCTTTTTCCGTGTCTGGCAACAGATCGCAACCCTCAGTGTTGCCCCCGTACCGGACCGGGGACCGGCAACGGGATCGCAACCCTCGGCGTTGCTCCCACGCCTCGCTCAGCCAGTGAGCGGGAACCGGTCCACCAGCAGAGAACTTCTACAGACTACAAATTGAATCTGTTCCAAATTCCTGGTTGCAAGCATCTGATTGGCTCAGCCTAGATCTGGATCCCGATCTCAAAGGAGGGAAGACCTAGCTTCGTTAAAACCAGCAAAGATCATCCCAAGGGCCAATGGGGTTGTCTGGGGAGGAAGGAGGCCACCAATGGCATTCCCCAGCTCCCCACTTTGTGTTGCCCAGCTTGTACGATGGCCTCACTGGGGTGGTCCCCGAGCTGCGGGGAGAACTGGCTCTGTAGGGCTAATGATGTCATGCCCATCTGTTGTGTAAATTTGTTCATTAGAAGACAGGGCACTAATGGACAGGGATGCGAATGGCAGTGCCAGGAACATTTCCTCCTGTGCCTCTCCTTCTGCACAGGCAGGCATTGAAAGGGCTGTTGGCCTCTCCCCTCCGCTCACCGTGAGCAGCATGCCATTCTCAGCTGACCTCTTGCCTTCCCTCAGAGCCTCCAGTCTCAGAAGCGAGGCAGGAGAGCATCTGTGCAAACTGCAGCAGACACCAGAGAGCCTTGCTCTTAGAGAAAGTGTGGGCAGCAGTCCTCATGCAGGGTCCGTAGAGAAGAGAAGGAAAGGGAGGGTAGCCGTTGTTTCCTTTCAAATAGTGTCAAGTGGCTGAAATTATTTTTCTATGAATCTAGGCATCCATTCTGAGGCTTTATCCCATTCATCAATGTCTGTAGCATTGTTCCTGCAAACCTTGACAAACAGAGCTGCAGGCGTGGCATGCTCCAAGCTAAAGCTTCCCACCGCCCGTTGACCTTGGTCCTCCCAGCCACCTGGCAAGGAGGCGTACTCACTCCTGTTATATAGATGAAGATGCAAGTGCAGAGGGACTGAGCACATGCCCAGGGTGGACAGGCGAGTGGGGGCAGCTCTGGGGCTCAGAGCCAGGCCCGTGTGTGTCAGCCCATCACACCTCTCTCACACAGAGGAGGAGAAACACTGCCCTCTTTCCTTGAGACCCTGTCCACTTTTCAGTAGTGACCCCCATGCAGGGGATAGTCTGTTCTGTGCCCTGTGAAAGAACCCCAAACTCGAGGCGCTCTGAGGCTCAGTCCTAGTCCTGAGTCCACTCTTCACTCCCTGGGGGGCCCTTCAGAGGGTTCCAATCTGTGACTCTTTGGGGAGCGCCTCACAAAATTGCTTTGATGGAAAGAACAAAACAGTCCTCCTCCCTTACATGAGGGTACTTCAAAATATTCATGAAAAATAAAATTAAAAGATAATATGAGGGCCGGCCTGGTGGTGCACTGGATAAGTGCGCCGCTTGGGAAGCGCGGCGGCGCTCCCGCCCGAGGGTTCGGATCCCACATGCAGACCGGTTCCCGCTCACTGGCTGAGCGAAGCGCGGGAGCAGCACCGAGGGTTGCGGTCCCGTTGCCGGTCCCCGGTCCGGTGCGGGGGCAACACTGAGGGTTGCGATCCATTGCCAGGACATGGAAAAAGACAAAAAGACAAAAAAAAAAAAAAAAAGATAATATGAATCTTTCCTTAAATGTTTTGAAGTACCTCCCTCCATGGCTATCGCTGGACTAAGTTCCTACCTGCTCTGTCATGATGTCGTAGTGTGTCCCTGCCCATTGGGATGCACCAATGTCACGAGGGTCCCCAACTCCTCTTGCTGAGGGCAGCCCCACGAGCCCCTTGCACCAGACGAGCTTCCTGATCACTGCCCACCTAGGGTCTCCACAGTCCCAGTGCCCATTGGAGTACCGGCCTCTGAGCTGTCCTGGCCATGCTGGCTGCCCTGGCCTCAGAGCCATTGCTGGCCACTTTTGAAATGGTCCAGGTCTTCGTTGTTTCTAGAGGTTGGGAACATCACTGTTGTTTCTCTGTGTTCAGGTAGCAGGTTCCTACAAGGACTTCATCCCTCCTGAAAAGATCAGTTTTACTGATATGTCAGGCAGAGGTGGTTGTGTCAGTCTTTTCAGGGAGCGGTTGGTGGGCACTGGAGATCATCCTCCTCTAGTACTTGGTGTTGCTGGCTGCGAGCTGCTCTTTTCTTCCAGCAGCAGCAGAAGGCGACCTTATTTTCCTGCCTGCCTTTTACAGCCAAGTTCCATTTGGTGCTTGTTGAACCTAATAAGAAATTCTTGCCTATTCTTTAAATAAACAAGGTGACTTTGAACCCCTTCCTTCAGTGAAGGGTACCAGAAAGACATAAATGGAGCAAGAGCATTTCGTATATGCCTGGACCCTGCATGAGGTACAAATTCAGCACTGCAGACTTTCTCTTGGTGTCTGAATCTCCTCCACCTGGCAGGTGTTTATGGCACTTGTGACATGACCTGAAGGGAAAGCATAGGCTCAGGGTGGCTGAGACCTGCTGTCCCTGCGCCACCACACGCTGACTTAGGTCCTTTGCTTCCAAACCTGGCCCTTTTTCTTCCCAGCTCGAGACATCACATTAGCTCTCTGTAAGTGAATTAATTAGCACTCATTTCTAACCAAGTATCCAGGGGCCCAATGTTGTCTCCCTAGTAACACTGGCCCATACATGTGTATGGAGAATATCTTAACCCCCAGGAGCTTCCTCCACTGACTAGAGAAGGGGAAAGATGGTGCAGGACTTCAGGACATGGGTGTTGGGAGTGCCTGCCTTGACCTTGACTCTGCTGTGGGTAGTGTCCAGGCAGGGTCCAGTTCACACACGGAGTGGAGATCGGTGGAGGGGCTTCTGCTCCAAGCAGCCCTCTTGATTCCTTAAGGACACCAGGCAGCCTCACATGGGCAGCTACAAGCTCACTTCTCCCAGAACCCTCTGGCTCTGTAGGCCCCAGGCATCAGGAATAAAGCATGCACTGATGCCCCATGGGAGGGCTGCAGGCTGTGCACTTGCCTCTTCAAAGTTCCCTGGGAAGGTGAGATCACAGAGGGGTGATAGTGGACCTCTTTGTTCTGACTTCACACCTCCCCCAGGCGGGTGAGGTCCCCGCTGCTGTTTTCTGCCTAGGGCGCTCTGCGGGTGGTGCCACCCTGCACAGGTGAGAGAGACCTGCTTACTGGGTGGCTATGTTGGTTCAGGGACAGCAAGGGCTGGGTTCTGCACGGTTTTGAGGGAGGAGGCGCATGTTTCAATCTTAGCACTTCCTTTCTTCCCATTTCTCCCTCTCACCAGAGAGCTGATCTTAGTCACTATTATTTCTTGGATTCCCAGTGACTGCTTTACGGGACACACCTGGGGGCTCAGCCTGGTGTAGCCAGTCAGTAGGGCCACATGCAGGGGGGCCTATGTTCTGTTCTTTCATTCATCCATTTATTCATTCATTCTACTGATGTGCATGCACACTGATGACAGCAGCAAGCAAGACAGATGGGGCCCCTGTCTTCCCAGAGCTCAGACTCTGAGGGGAAGGCAGTAAATCCTATTGCTTCTATTTTCAAAATATGCCCGTTTTGAACCACCACCTCTCCCTCCTGCACTACCTCCAGCACTCACACTGTGACACTTCAGAACAGCCCCGGCAGCCCCATAATCATCTTCTCAAGACATTCAAAGGTTCTCAGCTCCATGCGCATCCTGGAGTGGGTCCTTCAGTGGGTCCCACCATGTTCAGAATAAAGCTGCTGCCCTGTCTTGA